ACATTCTACAGGTTTTTTTGGGGTTGTTGATCGTTGTTTTGTTTTGGTGCAGACGGACTCTGCATGGTCCAGATTTGTCAAATTTATGGAAATGTGAGCGCCAGTTTCATCTCTGTCTGTCATTTTTTTATTGCCGTCCATTTCGGTTGAGTCCGAAGACTTGTCTAGTGACTTCGTGCGTTGTCTCTTGTTTCGCTGAACGCGACGACTATGACCTTTTACCGGTTTCTTGAGGTTTATGTGGTCCGGCTCATTGGTGTTTTTCATGTCCTTCGTACCTTGCTCAGGGGGTTTAATTTTATTATACTTAAGAAGTGACGCTATTATTTCAGTGAGGAGGTCGACGTCTACTTCTAGTTTCAAAACTCTGCTGGTGAGTTCTCGACATCCATCACAGCGTGTCGACATGTCAGTGTCTGCCTTATTTGTGGCTGATATCATCAGTGAACTGCTTTCTTCATGGTTCATGGTCGGTGGCCCATCACGTCCAGCTGAGAGCGAGTTGAGTATTTCCGGCAAGTTTTTATCACAGGAAATAGAAAACGGTTTACAAATAAGTGACAAGTTTTTATCACAGGAAATAGAAAACGGTTTACAAATAAGTGATAGGTCGCCTTTTCCTGAGTATATATTATTTTTGTGAACATCAGGCCGTCCTGGCGTGGCCGAGCGGTCAAGAGCGTCAGTCCCTGCACGAGTGGTCCGTGGTTCGAATCCCGGGTGAGGCGGACTTTTGTCACACATAGTAGGGTCGTGGACATTTGCGTTCCCCATGCTGGCAAGATATATTTGAGGTTGCATTAATTTATAATCGGCGACTTCAATTGCTAAGTAGTTACTTTACTGAACACAAAGATAACCTTTTTTCCAACGGAATTCAGTATAAAATGGCAATTTGGAGCAAAGAACGACTCAGCCTTCGCAGACAGGTTCTAAGTAGTCTTCGATTTCTGTCGGTTATCCAGCACTTCGTCGGCGGAAGATTAGCTTCGCAAGCACGATGGAGACGGTATTCGTAGGAATCTGAACTCAACCGACTGGATGCCTTGTTAAACTCCGGATTGTGGATTCCTGAGAGCCCCGGTGAAGGATGGAGATATCGCCGGCAATGGGATCCGTGAAAGCGGAGATCACTTGCACTTTTAAACTGATTTCTCGATTTATTTCGACAAGGCGTAACGCTGGGTGCTCCGCAGTGGGGCTTTTACAAGCATTACCCTGCTGCAATGTGCTGTACAAAGGCTTATCGTGTCCTTTTCCATAAACTGGATGGTAAGGCACGTTCCAGATGAGTTAGTCTTGTGATGAAGGAGTGTAACAGCGTACCTTCCAAGAATAATCGCGAGTCCTTGTTTTTTCTAACAGATCTTTTGTGGGTCACCCTAGCTTTCTCAACTTTAGTGTTCGATGATTTGATAGAGTTAGTTACTGTAGCGGATAATGAAACCTGACTTATTTTTAATACATTAACGTCGAACGCCACGTTATTCACCGGAACTGATTTGTCTGGAGTTTCCTCTGGAGACATAACTCGCTTTCTCTTCCTGACTGGCTTTGAGTTTTCCGCGTCATTGCCTTTATTAATAAGATATTTGTCGCTTAAAGATCGGAAATTTGGCGGATTATTAAGTAATTCTATTTCACTAAGCTTCAGAATAGCCATAATTATGTCCGTCATTCGGTCCTGCTTCTCTTCTAGCGTCTGTACTCGGTTTTCAAGTTTCTCACAGCCGACAGAGCGACCGACAAGCGCAGAATCCGTCCAGTCTGACATACAATTTTCAAGCCTTCTTGCCAGTGTATCGGTTCTTATTTCCTGTCTTGTATCGTGGAGCCGATTATGCTTAAGCTCCCTGGGGTCTTCTTTGTGTTTGAATACTACGCATGCTGATTCTTATTTGGATAAAAGCACCAAGTAATTCTTTGTGCCTGACCGTGATGCTTTGATCAAACACAGAGGAAAGTGAGTACTCCCACGATAGTACATCGTAGCCACATTCTCTGAGAGGGTGTTCGCAGTTTACGACATCGACGCTGTCAGTCGCCTTTCTCCCTACATGGTCCAGGCCGTTGGCAGGTTGCCCTTCAAGAAGTCCGGTTGGAGATAAAAACGTGTTGGGTGAGATGTAATTTTTGTGCACTTTATAGGAAAGTGCAGTCGAAGTTCACTTCTGGGCCTGAGACAGAATTAGGAATTCAGTCCATATTCGGAGCGCTAAAGTCGCCCATAATCATGAAGTCGCATTGGACAGAGAGCACTTTTAGTTCCCATACTGTCTAGGCGCTGTCTGAAACTCGGTGGCCGGTAGATAGATAGATAGATAATTTTTATTACAGACCCGTCGGGGTCCCATCAAAGCAAGTTAAAATAAATTTACATGCGAGTTTTAGACGAGGTGGGCTGAATCCTTACAAAATGCAATTCATAGTTTCTGAATTAGAAGTCCATTGAGAAACATGATGATTGAGGGGTGAAAAAAAACTCCTCGGA